TGACCAGGCAGACCAGCGTGTACCCCTCGAAGAACGTCCCCGTGGTGTTCAACCACGTCATCACCAACACCAACCAGGACTACAACACCACCACTGGCAAGTTCACCTGCAAGCTCCCCGGCCTCTACTACTTTGTCTTCCACACGTCCCTGACAGCCAACCTCTGTGTCCTCCTGTACAAGAGTGGCAGCAGGATGGCCAGTTTCTGCGACCACAAGACCAACAGCATGCAGGTCAGCTCTGGTGGGACCCTCCTGCACCTGGCTGCTGGCAACCAGGTGTGGCTGGAGGTGAACGACTACAATGGCATGGTGGGCATTGCCAACTCTGACAGCATCTTCTCAGGGTTCCTGCTCTTCCCAGACTAAAAGGACCAGCAGAGCCCACCCCAGCACACCAACCAACCTCTTCGCCCTGCCCTGTAAATGCTGGTGCTCCTTGCCAGGTTGTTGCTGATGCTCCAGGTTTCCCTGCTGGATGGGAAGACCCAGCCAGCAGCCCCAACCCCCTGCCCTGGGGCCTGAGCTCAGGAGCCACTGAACAGGGGGAACAGGCATGTCTGGATGCACCTGCACCCCAAGTGATGGTGCCAAGACCTTGATGGCATCCCCACCTGCACCCACCACGATAACCTCACCTTACCTTCTGCTGCCTCTGTCCCCTTCCCACCTGGACAGCACCAGGAACAGCCAGGGGTCCTGGAGCAGCCTGGCACCAGCACTTTCCCCATCACCCACCTCTGCCAAGTGTCAATAAAACTCTCCCCAGCCCACCTGGCCCAGAGTGTTTTGTCCTCCCTGACTTGCCTTTCTGCAGGTGTGTGCACCTGCTGGGTGCCTGGGGGACACCAGAATGTCCCCGTGGCCCTGCTTGACTCCCCTGTGCCCAGCACCAGGGAGCACCACACACTGTTCACAGCCCCAGGTCACCAGGGCAGGTCACCCCCCTGCACTGACTGCAGCAAGGGGGCTGTTCCCAAGCCCATGCACAAAGATCCATCAAAGGGGGGGGAACACACCAAGGGTCCTCCAGGCAGGGGCCCTGATGCTCCACTTCTCCTCCAAGTGGATGCAATTCAATTGCAGAGCACACAGACCTCATGGCCATGGTTCTGGTGGCCAGGACATCCCCAGGAGCCCAACCTCATCAGGGACAGGGAAGGGGAAGCACTGGCTTCTCCAAGACTGGCTCCAAAGGAGCTCTTGGCTGTGGAGGCTACAAGAGTCCACCCAAACACAATGGAGATTCCTCCTGGTGCCACACACTGCATGGTGGGAAAGGAGATCATCTCCTTAACATCCTGTGCTTCACCTCCACCAGGCACCAGCAGAAAGCAGGACTGGAAATGCCTTCACCACTGGGTGAGATCATTTCCCATCCACAGTGTTTAGGAGAACCTGGGTGACAGATGCAAGGTGGTGGATGCTGAGACCCTGCAGCATCCTCTGCTCCTGCTGGTACTTCCAGCAGAGCTGGGTACATACAGAGGGACCTAAGGGGCTGGGGTTCCTTCAAGGGTAACCCCAAACTTGTCTGCAGTGTTCCCCATAGAAGACAAACCTGAGCAGGACCCAGGGACCCTGCAGGACACAGTGGACATCCTTCTGCTCCCTGGGGCTAAGGCTGTACCCTTGAAGGGCCCCACGGTGCTATCTGGGGACAGCATGTTCTGCTGAGCTGATGCTCATGGTGGATATGAAAGTGCCACTGAAGAAAGGGCAGGAGCTAAAGATAAAAAAGGGATGTGGCCCAGAGCCTTTCACAACAACCATTGCAGCAAACTTCTCCTTCTCCTCAGGGTCACTTCCCAGCAGGACGCTGGTGGGTCCTGCTCCCTCTCCCCATTTGTGCAAGGACAAGCTCAAGGTAAGAGCAAGACATGGCAGAGCTGAGCCCCAGCTCCCCCCTGCAGGCAGGGAACCCAGCAGTGCTGGGGTGACAACCCCCCTCTGCACCCCTTTGCAGCAGAAGGGAAAGGGGGTTGATGGGCTGGGCGTGGGGGAGACCCCCAAGAGGGACCCAACCCCTTCTGTTCCACCTGGGGGAAGGGGGAGGTGGCAAGGGGGGAGGGCAAGGGGCCAGGTGGGTGATCAGGGACTGAGCATCAGTCTGAAGGGTGCCCTGGGGTGCTCTCCTGCCCTGAGATGGTCCTGTCTGCCTGGAGCTGGGCTAGAAGCCTGCAGGTCCTCCTACATCTGAATGCTGCATCTGAATTGGAGCTGCTCTGGCTGGAGGATCCAACTAAAAACCTGCTGACACCAGAGTTTCAATGCTGGGAAAGTCCACCTGAGGCCAAGGAGTCTGGCTGGGGCAAAGTGGTGTCCAGATCCAGCCCCCAAATGCCCAGGGATTACCCCACATGCCCCTGCAGCAGGAGCTGGGGGAAGGAGCTGAGCTGTGGGATGCAGGGAGGACAGAAGGAACATGAGATCCCAGGGACTGGAAGCTCCCCTGACTGTCCCAGCAAGGCTGGTTAGATGCAGGAATGTTCCTGGGATGAAGCAGGTGTGTGGCAGGACACAACAGGACCCCACAGAGGGTAAGGGACAGATTTAGGGATTTCATAGGCAAGGAGCAAAGCTGTCCCTTGGGGGTGCTGGTGGGGAGCAGGAGCAGATGGTGCAGCTGCCCTGGCCTGGGGAAGGATTTTGCCCTAGAGTTATGGGGCAGAACTTCTCCTCTGAGGGAGCAGTGGGCACACTCAGGGTCCTGGCCACATGTCCATGGCAGCCAGGCTGGACACCAGACACCTGGGACAGCAAAACCTGTGCTCAGATATTCATGTGCTGAAGCTCTGGGCACTTATAAACTGATCATTTCAGGGGGGGAAGAGACTGCCAAGCCCTCCCCCAATGCCCAGAGGTACTGGCCTCTGCAAGGTGAGTACATTTGGCTCTGCAGAGGGATGTTTTCCCTCTGAAATGTTTTCCCACTGGTGGCATCACACAGAAGGGCTTCATCCCCCAGAGCAGCACGAGGTGCCTTCCCCACCACCATCCCCCCCCACCAGGCAAACCCCTCGACCCCTTTTTTCTGTGCTCCAGCAGATGCAGAGCGTGTGGGCTGTGCTGATGTGCCTGGCTGGGGGGCAGGTGGCAAGTGCCACGTTCTGCAAGAGCCACGGCAACATCCCGGGCATCCCGGGGGCACCAGGACAGCCCGGCAGCACCGGCAGGGACGGGGAGAACGGCCCCAAGGGGGACCCAGGTAAGGAGGGGGGATTGGCACCTGGGGAACACAGAGAGCAGGAAAACCACAGAGCCATGGAATTGGGTTTGGAAGGGACCTTGGAAGGTCACCTGGCCCAACCTCCCTGCGGGGAGCAGGGGCAGCTGCTGTTAGAGCAGGTTGCTCCAAGCCCCTGGGTGTTTGCAGGGATGGGGCATCTCCCACCTCTCTGGGCAACTTGGGCCCGTGTTTCACCACCCTCATTGTGAAGAAAAAAAAATGTCCTATATCTAGTGTGAACCTCCCCTCTTTCAGTTTAAAACCGTCGCTCCTTGTCCTGTCACTGCAGGCCCTGCTGAAAACTGTCCCCATCTTCCTTACAAGCCCCCATTAGGCACTGAAAGGCCACAATAAGGTTTCCCTGGAGCCTTCTCTTCTCCAGGCTGAACACCCCAACTGTCCCAGCCTGGCTACAGAGCTGCTCCAGCTCTCCCAGCATCTCTGGGGCCTCCTCTGGACTCACTTCCAACAGCTCCATGTCCTTCTTATGCTGGGGGCTCCAGAACTGGCCCCAGCCCTGCAGGGGGGTCTCAGCAGAGTAGAGCAGAGGGGACAATCCCCTCCCTGGCCCTGCTGGTCACGCTGCTGGGGGTGCAGCACACGGGGCTGGCTCATCTTGGCAGGGCTGCTCCCCACGCCTTCACCCCCCTGGCCTGTGTTGGTACCAGGGGTTGCCTCAGGTGCAGGACAAGGCAGTACCAGGTGCATGGTCTTGGGAAAGCAATCAATTTTCCACCAGTCCCTTCGGGGTATTATCAGGTGGGGGTGATACTTGAGGACAGAGGGGCTGGACAGACCAAAGCACCCTGAGGAACCTTGGGTGCACAAGAGCAAGGGCTGTCACAGCTGCCAGGTGGGCAGGGGTGTCCACTGACCCACATCCCTGCATTTCCTTCCCAGTGTCCCCTCTGCAGACCCACAGGTGCAACCACAATCTCTCTTCCTCCTACTTTCTAGGTCCCCCAGGCCAGGTGGTGCACGAAGACGTGGGGGAGAAGGGAGACCCAGGAGCGCCCGGATACCCGGGGAAGATTGGCCCCAGGGGTCCCCCTGGCTCAAAGGGCTTACCCGGCCCTATGGGTCCCCCTGGCCCTCAGGGGGACTCAGGTGACTACAAGGCCACCCTCAAGTCTGCTTTCTCAGCTGCCAGGTCCATCAGCTCCTACCCCAGGCGGGACCAGCCCGTTCGCTTCGACCGCGTCTTGGCCAACGCGCCGGGTCACTACGAGAACCGCTACGGCCGCTTCCTCTGCCGCCTCCCAGGCATCTACTACTTCACCTACCACGTCACCTCCAGGAGCAACCTCTGCCTCAGCATCAAAAAAGGCCGGGGTGGCAGCAGAGGAGAGAAAGTGGTGACTTTCTGCGACTACGTCCACAACAGCTACCAGGTCACCACGGGCGGCGTGGTCCTCAAGCTGGCGGCGAACGAGTCCGTCTGGCTGGAGCCCACGGAGAAGAACTCCCTGGTGGGGTTAGAAGGGTCTGACAGCATCTTCTCCGGTTTCCTGGTCTTCCCTGATGCTTAGCCTGCCTGCTGGTGTCTCTGCAGCCCTTCCCTGCTGCCAGGACTCCCCTGGAAATAACTCGTCGCTCCAGATTTGCTGCCCTAAGTCACTTGGTCTTGCACATTAAATGACAAGTCTTTCTGCTGCTGGTTCCTTCCTGCCTCTTTCTCCCTGAATAATGCTCAGATACCCAGGGCATTGCCTCCTGCACCCCTGGGTGCAGCCCAGGTTCCTTAGTATCTCATTACTGCTGAGCAGAGCCCATCAGCTCATGCAGCCCCTGCTGCAGCCTGTGTCTCCTTCCAGAGCCACCCAAACAATGTCCCGGCACAGGGGTTAGGAAAACATGGAGAGGCCACCTGGTCTGTAGCCAGGGGGAAGGCTACATAACACAGTGGGACAACTGAGGCCACTGGGCACTGGTGGTAGATGGGGACATGCTGGAGATGGTACCACACTGGAGAGACCTGAGGCTGGTAGGATCTGGGGACACCAACCTCTCTTAGATGTTCTTTGGAGGTGAGGATGGCAAGAATATCCACAGAAGTTTGTCAAAGCTTGGAACAAGGTGAGGCACGTGTGTGTGTGGGGAAGAGCATGATGGAGGAGGTGTGGGGCACAGGGATATGTCCCAGTGTGGGGCACACAGCTGGCCCTGGTGTGGGGCACGGGGATATGTCCCAGTGTGGGGCACACAGCTGGCCCTGGTGTGGGGCACGGGGATATGTCCCAGTGTGGGGCACACAGCTGGCCCTGGTGTGGGGCACGGGGATATGTCCCAGTGTGGGGCACACAGCTGGCCCTGGTGTGGGGCACGGGGATATGTCCCAGTGTGGGGCACACAGCTGGCCCTGGTGTGGGGCACGGGGATATGTCCCAGTGTGGGGCACACAGCTGGCCCTGGTGTGGGGCACGGGGATATGTCCCAGTGTGGGGCACACAGCTGGCCCTGGTGTGGGGCACGGGGATATGTCCCAGTGTGGGGCACACAGCTGGCCCTGGTGTGGGGCACGGGGATATGTCCCAGTGTGGGGCACACAGCTGGCCCTGGTGTGGGGCACGGGGATATGTCCCAGTGTGGGGCACACAGCTGGCCCTGGTGTGGGGCACGGGGATATGTCCCAGTGTGGGGCACACAGCTGGCCCTGGTGTGGGGCACGGGGATATGTCCCAGTGTGGGGCACACAGCTGGCCCTGGTGTGGGGCACGGGGATATGTCCCAGTGTGGGGCACACAGCTGGCCCTGGTGTGGGGCACGGGGATATGTCCCAGTGTGGGGCACACAGCTGGCCCTGGTGTGGGGCACGGGGATATGTCCCAGTGTGGGGCACACAGCTGGCCCTGGTGTGGGGCACGGGGATATGTCCCAGTGTGGGGCACACAGCTGGCCCTGGTGTGGGGCACGGGGATATGTCCCAGTGTGGGGCACACAGCTGGCCCTGGTGTGGGGCACGGGGATATGTCCCAGTGTGGGGCACACAGCTGGCCCTGGTGTGGGGCACGGGGATATGTCCCAGTGTGGGGCACACAGCTGGCCCTGGTGTGGGGCACACAGCTGTCCCTGATGTGGGGCAAACAGCTGTCCCCTGGTGTGAGGCACACAGCTGTCCCTGATGTGGGGCACACAGCTGTCCCCTGGTGTGGGGCACACAGCTGTCCCTGGTGTGGGGCACACAGCTGTCCCTGGTGCAGCTCTGCAGGGTCCAGAGCAGCCCTATAACCCCAGCAGAGGACCCACATGACCGAGTCCTATAGCCCAGTCAAAGCCCTTCTGGAGATCCTATAACCCAGCCAAGGATCTCCTGATTAGTAAGAGCTGAGGACCCCAGAGATGTCCCTGGAGCAGGTGACAGTCCAGCATGGTGACTGGACACCTGCAGCCCCCAGCCCAGCTGGGACAGGTGGTACCAAGAGCTGGGGATGGACACGGGCTGCTCAGGAGAGGTTTCCTGGGGGGATCTGGGACAGTGATAAAGGGTTTGAGGGTGGCAGGAGGGGCTTTTATGGAGCTCTTGGGGTCTGCGTGTGGGTCCCCACCACTCGGGGCTGCCCCTGCCCCAGCGCAGGGCAGCGGTGGTCACTGGTGGCTCCGGTTTCTGTCCGGAATGAGTTGCCAGCAGGTGGCACCGGAGACCGGCTGAGCTCCCACCCGGCCGGGGGAGCATCCCCGGGATCATCCCCGGGATCATCCCCGGAGCATCCCCGGGATCATCCCTGGAGCATCCCCAGATCATCCCTGGAGCATCCCCAGATCATCCCTGGAGCATCCCCAGATCATCCCCAGATCATCCCCGGGATCATCCCCGGAGCATCCCCGGGATCATCCCTGGAGCATCCCCAGATCATCCCCAGGATCATTCCCGGGATCATCCCTGCATCCTCTCCGGAGCATCCCCGGGATCATCCCCAGATCATCCCCAGATCATCCCCAGGATCATCCCCGGGATCATCCCCGGGATTATCCCCGGGATCATACTCGGAGCATCCCCAGGATCATCCCCGGAGCATCCCCTGATCATCCCTAGATCATCCCCAGGATCATTCCCAGGATCATCCCTGGAGCATCCCCTGATCATCCCCAGATCATCCCCGGGATCATCCCCGGGATCATGCCCAGGATCATCCCCGGGATCATCCCTAGATCATCCCCAGGATCATCCCCAGATCATCCCCAGATCATCCCCGGGATCATCCCCGGGAAGATGGAGGGAAAGATTCCACTCCCAAAACAAGAGGCTGGGCAGCACACACCAGGTAAGTCTCCTGAGCCCTCCACAGGTCTGCAGAAGACACCAAATCCAGTCCTGGAAGACAAGGCTGCCATTCCAAGCTGGAGCAATGAGCTGGCAGGAACCTCCTGACATTTAATGGGGACAAACGCAAAGTCCTTCCTCTGGGATAACCCCACGCAGCAGGACAGGAGGAGGCTCTGCAGGGGCAGGTCTGGGATGCTGGTGGACAGCAGCTTGAAGCTTTCTGCCTTTCTGAGTAATTGCTGCAATCCTTTTGGACTCCTGAAAAGGTCTGTTTTAGGTCTCCTGTGGTATGGAGCTGGTTTTGCTCTTAAAACTAATGCCTGCCCTAACACCAGCAGAAGCCAAAGGGTTTCTAGGGCCTTGGCTGTGCCTGGAGGGACTCAGAGGGCAGCACAGGTACCAGCTGCCCCTGGAGTGCAGCTCCCAGTGCTCACACAGCCAACAAACAGAGATGCACAGGGCACTGAGCCCTCCTCAGCAGCCCCCAGGGATGCCACCTCAGCCACCAGCTCCCTGGGGCAGCAGCTGCCTGCTCCCCTGAAGCTGCCGTGGAGCTGCAAGCCCACGGGTGTCCCAAACAGGTGAGGGAAGGGGGCCCAGGAGGCCTCAAACCCCTGGGGCTGCTGGTGGCAGATGCAACTTTACCCTTCAGATCCTCCTGCTCTGCTCAGCGTGGGCAGAGTGTTCCTGAGGCTGCAGGAGGTCCCAGAGCCCCAGGACCCCTTCCCTGAGGCCAGAGCTGGGCTGCAGATGCCCCCTCCCATGGGACCACCCCCAGCAGCAGCCCAGAGCCCTGCCCTGTGCCAGCAGACCCTCTGCTCCACCCTCAGAGGTGCTCAGGGCCACCAGAAGGGGAATGTGGGCAGCTTGGAGCTGCCCTGGCAGTCCTTGGTGGAGCCCAGGGAACTCCCACAGCCCTGCTCCCAAACCTCCCCCTCCCTGCCCTGTGTCAAGTCATTCATCACTCCATGCAAAACCAAGCCACCTTGGAACAACACAACCATCAGGGAGGGGCTGGGGAGAAACCTGTTGCAGGGTGAGGTGCAGCCTGGTGGTGAGGACAAGGGAAGCTCCACATTTGTTGGCTCTCAGGGACAGGATCAATTTGCATCTTTAATGAACTCTTCACATCTTACCTGTCATCACCCCTCAGGCTTCAACCAGGCTCTTCTCAGGGGTGTCCAGCAAAAGGACAAGGGGCACCAGTCACCAACTGGAGGTTTACAGGGGAGGTTCAGCCTAAACCTAAGGAAAACCTTTAGAGTGAGGGTGACAGAGCCCTGGGCCAGGCTGCCCAGAGAGGCTGTGGAGTCTCCTTCTCTGGAGACATTCCAACCCCCCTGGCCACGTTCCTGTGTGATGTGGAGCTGCCCTGGCAGTCCTTGGTGGAGCCCAGGGAAGGCAGGACTCCCACAGCCCTGCTCCCAAACCTCCCCCTCCCTGCCCTGTGTCAAGTCATTCATCACTCCATGCAAAACCAAGCCACCTTGGAACAACACAACCATCAGGGAGGGGCTGGGGAGAAACCTGTTGCAGGGTGAGGTGCAGCCTGGTGGTGAGGACAAGGGAAGCTCCACATTTGTTGGCTCTCAGGGACAGGATCAATTTGCATCTTTAATGAACTCTTCACATCTTACCTGTCATCACCCCTCAGGCTTCAACCAGGCTCTTCTCAGGGGTGTCCAGCAAAAGGACAAGGGGCACCAGTCACCAACTGGAGGTTTACAGGGGAGGTTCAGCCTAAACCTAAGGAAAACCTTTAGAGTGAGGGTGACAGAGCCCTGGGCCAGGCTGCCCAGAGAGGCTGTGGAGTCTCCTTCTCTGGAGACATTCCAACCCCCCTGGCCACGTTCCTGTGTGATGTGCTCTGGGTGCCCCTGCTCTGGCAGGGGGGTTGGGCTGGGGGAGCTTTCCAGGTCCCTTCCAACCCCTGGGATGATTCTGGGATGCTGTGTCACTCCATTAGTGCTGAGCCCAGCCAGCCCCCAGCACCTGCTACCTGAGGACCAACCCTTCCCAAGCCACCCTTGGCTGGACCTGCTTCTTGCTGGCCTCACACACCCACAGCCCTGCTGCCTGGCAGGCCCCTGCCCTGGGCAGCCTCCCATGCAAGCCCTGCCCAACTGCCCTCCTCCCTCCTGACACTGCTCCTAGATGCAGAGATGCTTTTCCCTCACCAGCAGCTCCCTCCCTTGCAGCCCAGCAGCCCTTCCTGCCCTTCCCAGCACCAAGGTGCAGCCACAGCTGCTCTCTGCCCTTGGCTCT